TTAGATACAACACACCTCCATCTCCCCTGCCCCAAATGCAAACTCTCAGATAAATGCACTGGACCCTTTGAAATACTTGCCAAAGTAGGCCAAAGTGCCTATAAACTCTAACTCCCCAAGATGTGGAAGATCCACAATATTTTCAATGAAACACTACTAACTCCCTATGTTGCACCAGCCTTTCCAAACTAAGAACATCCTCTACCACTGCCTCCAGACATCATTGATGATGAGGAGCACTATAAAATTGACCAAGTCCTACACCATAAATTATGAAAAATAAAGGCAAAAGGCAGTGAAACAACAATAACAGTTGACTATCTGGTTAGTTGGAAAGACTACAGCCCAGAATCTAACCAGTGGGTAAATGAAAAACACATGAATGCTGATGATGCCATATATGACTATAAAATATCCCTTAATTAAGCCATCAGGACAATAGTCTTAAGAAGGGAGTAATGTTATGATTTTCCATTCTTTTTCAACTTGTTTTCTTTATTTAACCCCTATTTCGACTTAATCAGAGCATCTAGTCCAGCGCTTAGCACCGTGGGGAATAAAACTTAGTCATCACAAATAGCTAGACTACTATTCTCTAAGAAACCCATAGTGATGCATGATGAACACAATCGCCCTTTTATATATGGTAACGATACCCAAGAGCCAACAATATAAAATGACAAAGACTCTATAATAGTACCAAGTATTATCAGACCTCATGTACAGTATTTAAAGGAGCTCACTCTCGCTGGTATACCCCAGCTTCAAGCTAAAGTTTATACACATACCATTCTACTCTCGAGCCACTACTAAGGCCTTGTGACACATTGACCCGAAGACACAATCAGTGGACTCAGGTGATCCCTCAAAGTGCAAAGAGACATCTGTTTATCACATGTTTAGGTTCATATGATGCTTGAGTCTAACAATCTCAGACACTTGCAGCTGGAGTCTCTCAAACTCACAGATATTGCAACCCAGAATGCAAGGCATGTGATAAGACCCAGCACACAACAGAGAATTGCTATTGGTCTAGTAGTAGAAAGAAGAATTAATTTTCTTCTAATTTCAGCTGACCTTGATATGCAAACCAGGCCACTATGAATAACATCACTGATACCACTAGGCATTTTGTTTTTGCTGCATATATGACTACTGTTGAAGTCAATTGAGATGAAGATGTTCTTGTAATCCAGGATGGTAGTATGGGTGAGAGGATATATGAATGGGATAGTACTCATTCATTCTGGTGATGAGACAAGCCTGATGATGATTCTGGATCTGCATCAAGTGCTGAATCCTTGAAATAGAGTTCTACTTTTGGAAGAAAGACAGAATCCTTCACTGACTACTCAGAAATGGAGGATGAAACAGATGACAAGATGCCACTCCTGAAGCTGGTTGATTCTGATGAGGACAGAGACAAAGCTGAAGTGATGGGACAGTCCACCTGTGAAGCAAACCCTGCTGGAATAGAGCTGGTTGACTCTAATAAAGATGAGGATAAAGCCAAAGAGATAGGGCAGTTCACTTGTGAAGCAGACCCTGCTGGAACAGTCTTTGTGACCACCACATTTGAAGGGCATACTCTATCTGTAACATTGATCTTTATAGACTCTGATGCTAGTGACTACTTCTTTTGCAACTGTGAAGACTTTATTGAGTACACACCAGTGACATTCCATATAGATTCATCTGCTGTTAGAGAGAAAGAGACTTTTGAGATATTTGGCCAAGGAATCACAATGAAGACATTAAGGCTTGATGAGAAGGATATTAGGCTAATCTTCAAGAATGCATTACACTCACCATCATTAGCAGCCAATCTCATTTCTATAAGTGCCCTAGATAAGGCTGAGCTATCAACCATGTTCTCTAATGGTTGTGCTGTTGTCTGCAATGAGTCTGGCAAAGAAAATTTTGCAGGACAAGGCTCTGACAGCATGTATGTTCTGAATGCTGCACCTACATCACAAGCCATGTCTTCACAATCATCTCCTACTTCACTATGCAACTGGCATCATTGTTTCATTCATATGAGTCCTAAAAAAATTGAAGAGATGACATTAAAGGAACTTATAGATAGGTTAGACATCATCTCTGATTCTCTCTATAGCAGATGTGAGGATTGTATCCTTGCATGATATGCTCAGCATCCATACAATGAACCAATGAACCCTAATGTTGATCCTCTAGAGTTGGTGGCATCAGACTTGTAGAGACTATTTTGAACTGTCTCTCCTAGCAGAAAGACCTATATAATAATTTTCATGGATAGCAGGACATCTTTCAAAGCAGGGGAGTTTCTGGCAGACAAAGCAGATGATATGACTGTGGTTGTATTTGATAGATACAGGTCATGGCTGAGATTCAGACTAGATGAAAAATCAAGTGATTATGAGTCAACTGGGCTTTTGCAGGGGAAAAGTGGGCCTAGTACTGTAATAAGCATGACATCTTGCTTGAATTGATAGCACTCTATTCCTCAGCACAGAACTGGCTGACTGAGCATGCACTGCATGCAATAATGGAAGACACACAAGCTCTTCTGAGTGATTCTGAGCTTGCTGATCATTACTAGATAGAGACAGTATCTATGTCTATCTTTACATGGAACTTGGCTTCATCAAGTCATCACTTCAGAGTGGTACCAGCAGAGGCATTCCCAAAGCATCATCAGGATGTTTTATTCCTTTGTGTATTTGGATTGATCTGCTGGATGAAGAAACCCATATCTGATGGCATTTTAGTGAATGGTGGAAGCAAATTAGATGATTGCTCAAAGAAATACATATTTTTAGGCTATGCAGGATCCAACTACCATGTACTTGATAAATTGAGCTGAGTGTTTGTGTCTCATGATGTCATTTTTGATGAGAGTCCTGCTCACTGAACTATGAGTGTGGAGGAGACAGAGGATGAACCTCCACTCAATACTTTGGCCATTCTATCTTTCTTGTCTTTTATGACTACTCCACAAACTAAACTTATGCCTACCAACTCTCCATCAGTCAACATGCTTGACATGTCCTAGTGCTGATGTTATTGAATCCCTGTTGTCTGAACAATGTGAAGCTGAGGCTTGTGCAAGTAGAAATGACTGGACAACAAATAGTAAACAATCACATGCATCTATGGCTTCTAGCAACTTATCTGACTCATACATTCTATGAAACTACTAAGATATGCTATGTATTGATGAAGAATGTTAGAAAACAGCAGGAGAAAGTGTGCAAACTCATCCATATCATCTATAGAACTATGCAGGAGGATCATGACTGGTTCAAAACACTTGAAAAAATGTATGAGGATCTTGGTTACTATGCCTCAAAGACAGATCCTTGTATCAGGACAATTGGCCAGCCTGGTGGTGAGTATAATATCATGGATACTTACACTGACAATGTATGGGAAGCATCATTGAGTGCACAAGAGGCTAATCAATGCAAGAAGAAACTAAAAGAGAAGTGAGAGCTTACAGATATAGAGGAGAATTGCTACTTTTTAGAGATGAAGATTGACTAAGACTTTGAGACTGGCACTATCATATTTTCACAGCATCTATACTGAGAGAATGTCTTTTTATATTTCAACCTCAGACACTTATAACTACAATCTACATCATTATCCATTAGCATAGTGCTTGATACCTCACAGTCACCAACAATGCAGGTAGAGAAAGATGAGATAGAGTATTACCCATATTGACAACTATTGGGTCACATCATGTGAGGACAACTAGTGACCCAGCCAGACCTATGTTTCTCTGTGAGCTTACTCACTCACTTCCAGTCTAACTCTGAGTTAGAACATTGGAAGATATTGCTACATGTCCTTGGATATGTCAAGGGAACTATAGATCTCAGTATCATTTTCTCATGTAATTAACTCTTAACTCCTGTTGAATTTGTAGATGCAGACTATAATGGTGGTTGCAATACTGCTCATTCAATTTCAGGCTACATGTTCACTATGGTGGGCAGACCAATTTGTTGAAGTTTTAAGCATCAAGCCACTGTTGCTCTGTCCACTGTCAAGGCCAAATATGTTTCACTTACTCATGCAGCACAACAGATGATATGGATCCTGTTATGAATAGATGAAGTTGAGCTTTCTCAGCTCTGATCTGGTGTCCTGTATTGTGACAATTAGAGGGCTGTTGTGCTGACAACCAATATATGATCTCACCAAAAAGTCAAACACATCCACATCTATGAACATTTTATCTGAGAACTGATCAAGAATGGGAAGCTTCAGGTCAATTTTATTTATAGAAATATCAATCCTGCAGACATGTTCATCAAATCTCTATCTTGTAATACCTATCAAGGCTATCTCAATGCACTGAACATCATCCCAGTGGATTGATATAGATATAGAAGAGTATTGAAGGATATCTATATATTATATCCTTATCTTACCTTTCAATTGTCTCCTTTTTACTTATCATATATACATTACTCCTGTCCTTATCTGATCACCTATATAGACTGGCTATAGATATCTGGATACCTCAGTTGTTTCACCTACACTGTGTCTGACTGAGGTATGTATATCATTACTGTGCTCACTACTATATTACTCACATTTGTTTATAGATCCTAACTTATATTCTTCTGTTAATAAAAAGTGGTGATGACCTTATCAGCAATTTTTGCAGTTTTACTCATGGAACTCGACTCCGACGTGACACTCGACACAGTGAAAAAGCGCCAGGATCTCATCAATGTCGTACATGAGCGGATAAGCCAGATGCCTGACGGATAGCTCGGTCACGGTCCGGATCGGCCTTAAGGTACGTACAGATCCACTAAGCCTTCGTTCCAATCATCATGTCAGACAGTTGGGCGTATCTTGAGGCATTTGCTTGTGCATGCCTTCTTTGGTTTTTATTCCGGAAACTTATCAAGACATCCAAGTATCCTCTGCCTCCTGGACCGCCAGGTACGTACTACGCCGGAGGCTTTTCCAATGCACCTTGATTGTTGAGGCGATTTTTAGGAGAACCCATACTGGGACATCTACGTGTCATTCCAGTCGGTAATCCTGAACTACAGTACCGCGAATGGAGTCGACAATACGGTATGTTAGCCCAACTGCTTCATTTGCACCCGTCCTCTCATTGTCGCCGTTCTTGAATTCTTGCAGGAGATGTCCTCTCCTTCCATATTCTGGGTCAACCAATAATCGTCCTGAACAGCGTGAAAGCCGCTATCGACCTCCTAGACAAACGCGGTAGCAATTACTGTGACAGACCGGCCTTCCACTTGTTTGAGGAGTACTGCGTTATCCTTTAAGTGCATAAGTGCACGCACAATTAACTTTTTATCGCCTTTACAGGATGGGCTGGGAAGGAACTCTCACATTTTTGCGATGGGGACCTAGGTTCCAGCGGAATCGGAAACTCATACAGAGCTCTTTCACCAAGCGACAGATCGTCAAGTACCAAGAGCTCCAGACACGTGAGGCTCGTGTACTTGTTCGGAATCTTATACAAAGTCCAGAGGAGTATGACCGTCTCATTCGTCGTTTCGCTACTGCCATTATTATGGATATTGCTTTCGGCCACGAAATCAAGTCAGATGCTGATCCATTCATACAAATAGCAGCAGACGCATCGTATGCTTTGGGCCATGGAGGCGCCCCAGCAGGAACGGCTGGTAAGCTCTTCTTTTAACCTTATTCACTCTGCTCAGATTTCCCTTATACTAGTTGATTTTTTCCCACTTCGTATGTAATCCCATGGAGAGACTCTACCGCTGAATCCGAATCAATTGCCATAGTCAGATACCTTCCAGACAGTCTATCGTTTCTGTCCAATTCTCTCAAATTTGCCCGTGACTGGAAATGGGCTATCCGAAAAGTGCACGATATTCCATTCGCGGCTGTGGAGAGTCAGATTGTCAGTTTTCAGTCGTCTCATTTGCGACTAGGATGCATGATTTTTTAGTAGAACGAAGGAAATGCCCGGCCGTCCATCACACAAAGCTTTCTTGAGCGTCTAGTCACTAACGCTGAGAAAGGCATCCGAGACGAGCTGAAACGCGAAGATGTCAAAGGTGCTGCGGGAGCTATCTATGCTGCTGGCCAAGACACGGTGAGTATCACATCCACGTCGATTCCTCGGTCGTACTCTTCTTCTAATCACTGATTCAGACGTGGTCTACTATTGTGGTCTTCCTCGTCAATATCATTTTCCATCCTGAAATTGTAGCGAAGGCCCAGTCTGAACTCGACACCGTTGTCGGTCCCGATCGATTACCTACCTTTGACGACCGCCAAAATCTCCCATACATTGATCGTATCGTACAAGAGACTTTTCGGTATGCTTCCCAGTCTAGCTCCGGGGACAAATCACAACCTGAAATCAGATCTTATCCTGTATCCCCCATTGGTGTCCCGCATAAGTCTCTGGAAGACGATGTATATCGTGACATGTTCATCCCCAAGGTAATCCGTGCCCCGAACGCTATATAAGAACTCCATCTGACGTGTGCTTCTAAGGGTTCTCTCGTCATCGCCAACGCTTATAGTATGTGCCACGACGAAACAATCTATAAGGATCATGAAATCTTCGACCCAGATCGCTACGCTCCGACCTCAGAGGGAGGTCATGGAGAGCCATTTCCGCTTGGCCAATTCGGGTTTGGTAGGAGGCAGGTATCTCTGTTTGAGCCTTGATAGCTATGAATCAAACTTGGACGGTAGAATTTGCCCAGGAAGACATCTTGGAGACGCAAGCATTTTTATAGTCATAGCTACGATGCTTCATACCCTTGATATCAGCAGACGAGTCGATGCTAATGGGGAACTGATGAACCCTGAAGTCAAGCATACAGCGGGACTTACATGGTCAGTAGAGTGCGGTTGTGCATCTGCTTAAGCTCACTTCACTTTTTCAGTCACCCTGAGGTGTTTGAATGTAGTATTCGCGTTCGGTCTCGCCAGATGGAGGGACTGATTTATAATGCAACCTTGTAAGTTGTAATGTAGGGTGCAATATTAACTCGAGATCCGTAGTGTTTCCCCCCGAAGGTCGTGGTATATCCAAATAAGAGGTACATGGATACGCATGAGCAGTGACCATTTCAAGAGACGTTAGGAATGATTTCCCAAGTATCTATAACAAGGAGAATTAGGACATAGCCTTCTCACAGGAAGAAAGGCGACTCCGAGGGAGGTTTAACCAAAATCACAGTGAAGTACTGTCGTTCGGTAAGTATGTGCCCTATCAACGCAACAATGATATTTCCCTGACGCTTCATGAACATGCCATTGGGAGTCTGAGAGCCTAGTCTAGGAGAATGATTTATAATTTTCTCTCCGTCGGGGGAACAGGAATACTGAGACGGTGGTGTGTCCGATGAGCATGAAATTTGGGACATCCTGCATAAGCGTCACCACGGATGGTGGGTTCTAGGGAGACGGAAATCAAAAAAGACCTTTATTTTCAGCTCTCGGCGAAGACAGGAGATCTGCCAACTGAATTATCAAAAATTTCAGAGGATCCTGTTATGATATCAGCTTCAAGGGATCGAAGGTCGTGATTCTGCCTGACTAAGTGTTTGCCTTCAAATTTGCCTATATTTTTCTGTCAAGGATAGCGGCGTGAGCCACCCACAGTAGCTTGCACTTCGATTCCGGGCGCGAAATAGAGTCAGAACTTGACCAAATAGTGGTTCGGTCGACATTATGGCATAATGTCTATCGAGGCCAGAGCTGGGGATAGTGGGTCCCACGCCTACACAAAGGTGTCCGAAACCTAGTCATTTGTACGGGCGATTTATGGTAGAAGTTCCAACGATCGTTCAGCAGTCGGAAAGGAGGCCCACAGTGCACACAAGGAAGCAGCCAATCCATCGAACGCACCAGCCCTCTTAATTCTAGCGTATGCTGATGGCTCTGGGGGGTAGTACCATAAGGAATTGTCAGATCCAATGATGGAACTTTGAAAGGCCAGGTAACAGTTGCCCCGTTAAAAAGGTTTCTTCAGTGGGGCAAAGATAGGAAATTTGGATGAAGATGGTGAAGGAGTTTTTCGGACTCGCATCGGACATATTCGGAGTGTCTTGGTGGCCATCATCATCCTGGTGTAAATGACTTCACAACCTAACCTCCGCTTCTGTTACCAGTAAATCTTTGATTTTTCCGGCATCTTCGATAACTCCAAGCGGAACGACGGTTTTCGATGGTAATGCATGCAGGTGGGACGATAAAGAGTAGTGAAAGACCCTTTTGGTAGACAGAGAGAATACCTCGTCGCAGCGATGGATCGAACGGTGCGCATGTCAGGACTATGCTAACGAGCTGCCGATTCTAGAAATAGGATGTCTCCGAACGAACAGGATTCACGCGGCTCTATGAAGAACGAGAAATGCACAAAGAACGGCAAAGTACCTCTTCCACAGCACCTTACAAACTTGCTTGTCTGCAAACCAAAATATGCGGAAACGACAGGATTATAGCGGCAGTTCGACGTCGTCGGAACAAGTCCGCGTGTTGCTGCATCATCGTCAAGAAGTCATTTACCAATACAACGGAATGAATCGGTCATCGAGAACCTCGCAGTCTCCAAGGACATTTTGTCGGCTCCTTAGCCTTTCTTGGACCACTCAAACAATCCGGCGACCGTATCCATGAGGCACTGTTAAAATTGGCTTCTCCAAGATATGCTTTGACGCCAAGCCAGGCGATGTAAAAAACGATGTATAAGCGGGCTCGTGAATCAAACTGTTGGTCAGCCAATGAAGGCGGATCACTCATGCCCTTTACTCCGATGGCGATAGCTACTTACCCCGTTCATGACGTCCAGATGCTCGTTGCCATTGTGTAACGTAAAGGCCAAACAAAATGGTAGTTAAGAGTCTGGACTCCAGACCTCAAAGACCAGCAGAAAATTTCAAGTCTTCTTTTCGTCTGACTCATCGCGTTAAGTTCTCCCTGAATCATCGTCATACCCCAGCAAAAGTTGCCTCGTGCATCTCACCGTGCTCTAAATCGAACGTTGTGACGACCATTTCGCACGAACTAACAGTCAGCGGTGCCGAGCGGCTACCCCCTGCCATGCAGTGCGTGTCGTTCGGACGTCCTAATGAAACGGCGCCTGAAACAGAGAAAATCTTGACTTCGGATTTGGCCTGCAGCAAAGCTCTTTGTCGTTCCTACTTTAGGAATGTCTGAGGCGCTGATTTAATCACCGTTATTTTTTTCTTCACAAATTTCAGATAGATTTATTCATCCCAAAATAGTTGCTACCTTGCATCACGGGCACATATGCATCCTGGATCCAGAAATGTTGCTACGCTATTAATAGAAGAACTGGTCAGGACCCGTGATGCCGGTCATCTAGTAAGTTATAATGCCGGTTCCGTTCTCATACTTATCAAATCCAGCACTTATAGCCCTTCTCTTGAAGCGATCTTGCACACTCACACAATGGCCCTCCTCTCAGCATATGCTCTTGCCGTTTCGCTCCTGACGGTCCCCTTGATCCTTCACTTGTTTAGGATTGGCAGGAGGGAGACTGGCCTTCCTCCTGGACCATCCACGCTACCCTTAGTAGGTAACCTCCATCAGCTGCCACAGCATGGTATGCATCTACAGTAAGTGATGGAGACACACCTGTAGTCCTCCCCTAACATCTTTCAACAGATTCACCACCTGGGCAAAGGAATTCGGAGGAATATTCTCGGTAAGGACTATGGGGGTTGTCGTGATCATGTTCTGAATCTATGGCAGTTGAAATTTGGTTCCGGAACAGTCATAGTCGCCACTAGCCCTCGCGCTGTTCGTGAGCTTATTGATCAGAAGAGCGCGAGCACCTCAGATCGTCCACCGTCGCATTTTTCGAATGTCGTTACAGGCGGAAACAACCTTGGATTCGCCCGGTACTGTACGTATTTCTACGTTTCGTCACTCTCGGTAGGCTAAATACCAGTTGACAGCGGACTACTGGCGGCGGGGACGCCGTGTCATGCATTCAATGCTTACGAAGAAGGCGTGCATAAATCATTTAAATATTCAGCGCGCCGAAGCTTCCCAGTTGATGTACGATTACCTTGTTGAGCCTAAGGTAAGCCTTTCTCTTGTAAAACCGGTGCCAGCGAAATCTCACATGTAATTCCAGGACTTTGTAGCCCACGGCCAGCGTTACGCCAATTCGGTGATCACCTCGATCCTCGCTGGTACCAGGTCGCCCCACCGCACCAGCCCGCTGGTCACCTCTTTTTTTAAGATGCAGCACGAGTGGACTAATCTCCTGGAACCTGGTGCCCACCCCCCGGTCGACATGGTACCCTTCTTGAAATATATCCCTGGAAATTGGAAGCAAATTTGTGCCAAGATGAAGGCCTCTCAGGAGGGGCTATACGGTGGACTTATCGATGCCTGCGCGAGGCGCGTTGAAAGCGGTATGCGTAATGGATGCTTTTTGGAAGAAGTGCGTGAGAATAAGGATGTTGACCGTGGATTACTGCGGTGCGTTCAAACAGTTTGCTTACCTCCTTCGTATAAATTTATAGTTTTCAGAGGGATGTGTTCCGCTCTCATGGAAGGCGGTTCCGACTCAACGTCTATCTATCTGCAGAGCTTCGTTCTCATGCTCGTAGCGCATCCAGACGTCCAGGTAAAGGCTCGCGCGGAGATAGACTCGGTCGTGGGACTTGATCGGCTACCTGACATTGAAGATATGGACAATCTGCCCTACGTGTCGGCTGTGATCAAAGAAGTGGGGTCTTTGCACCGTCTTCGTTCTACCCTTTGTGCTCATTGTGTACATCATAGGTCTTGCGCCTTCGACCCATTACAGCCTTGGGAGCACCTCATTACAGCACCCAACCTGAAATCGTGCGGTTTTGCGTCTCCAGCTTTTTAATTTTCCCAAACTGATATCTGCTCGCCTCAGATTGACGGCTATATGATTCCGAAGGACTCCATGATCTTCATAAATCAATGTGTGTACATACTTCCTTCGTACCATTACGAACAAAAGCTCATCTTTTATCTCAGGGGGCATGCTGCATGACCCAGACTCCTATGACCAACCAGATTCATTCATCCCCGAGAGATTTCTGACATCACCATTTGGCACAAAGCCTGGGGCGGACGACACGAGTCGGAGTAAAGATATTTTCTTCGGCGGTGGAAGGGTAAGCAGCATGCTTGTTTCGTGTACATCGAAGTTCTCTGACCATTTTTGAAGCGCATCTGCGTTGGCATGCATCTCGGACAGAACTCGTTGGTGGGTGTAATTCGACGTTGCAATATGCCATTGTATGCTCACTTGAATGAAAACAGGCGATCACGAGCATGTATCTCATTTGGGCGTTCACATTCTCCAACGCTATCGATCCACAGACCAAGAAGCCAATCCCTGTGGATATCAATGAATATGATATTGTATGTATCTTCCCAGCCGCATCACCCATATATTAACGAAAATCTCCAGAGTCTCAATACGATACCAAAACCATTCAAGTGCGATATCCAAGTGAGGAGTGAAGAACACAAATACGCGATTGAGCATGCGTTTGCAGATGCGCGTCTCGTATTTGCGCCATTTGAGCAGGATTTGAGGAACATAGGCCATGTCGGTATCTAGATCGGACACCATTCCAGCGAAGCCTAAGTAGAACAAGTCTGCCAACTAGGACTTTTCACTTAGACTATAGAATATATCAAATCTCTTTCTCAATTTGCCTATGGCAACTCCAGTTGCCCATTTGAACGAATATGGTAAGAGTTATGGGAAATATCAATCCACCTCGATCCACCTTCGAAGACGTGTTATCAACTTGCTGCATACTAAGCGGGGGCCGAAGCAAAATACTGATGCGCCCACGCCAGCATAACGAGGATGCAATCCTGTCATCGGCCTGCCGTTCTAATTTGTCTTAGAAGAAAAACGTCCTTGCAACTCTTGGTCGGTGATGCGTGGGCACCCGAAGATAACTTCTCCCGCAGTTAGGTCATCAGTACCCGGTGCTGATAGCCCACCTCATCCAGGATAAACTCTGAGCCACTACAGAAACGGTCCGCCGCAGTCAGCGCACAGCTCACAGAGCGGGCCCCGAAGTGTGAATCCATAACGCGAAAGATATTACACGTTACTGTGAGCAAGACAAGGCAATACGTTCCATTGTTCAAACTGAGGAACTTTTAATCGATATAGACCCTAGAAGTTTCAGTTTGCAGCGCTTTAAAATAAGGACCATCAAGTTCGAAGTTTATCCTATTCTCAGTACTAAGTACGGCCTGAAACAACAATCAAACTGCGCTTAATTAGGTGTTGGGTTTCGATAGCACCCAGCTGTGTTGGTACTAAGTACGGCCTGAAACAACATTCAGACTGCACTTAATTAGGTGTTGGGTTTCGACAGTATCCAGCTATTTTTTCTAAGTATGTCATGGTTGCATATGTGAGCGTTACTTGGCATTCGACCATGATTCAGTATAAGTTGCGTACTGTTGGTTAGTATTACCAAATTGTTTCCGCTGTCGTGTCTGATCCGCGTTGCTCGATCTATCTGAATAGTAGCCGCGGTATCAAAATCCAAGAAGGTGATTTCCGAATCGGACCTAGACTTGTATGCACTTGGAAAAAGAATGTCAACCCCAATTCCAACAACGATGGACCTGGGTCCAGAATGCAACAGATCATTTAGGCCTTGAGGAAAGTCGACGAGTAGAAATATAGTGATGGTCATATTCGGCAAAGGTATCGAGTTCTTATCAGTTATCGTATTGATCATGTACTAGACTGCAGATACGAAAGTCCCCGTCAACAACAAGGTTATTCGCCCGTACCATTTGATCTACAGGTTATCGCAGTCAGTCAAGAGATCCCCTCTCCCCTTCATGCCCCCTTGATTCTTTGATCCTCTGAGGCTCCAAACGAAATGAGGCGTAATTGCGATAGACTTCATCGACGGTATCGAATTTCGATAAGTTAGCCCTCGTTGTATCACAAAATCTCCCCAATCGTACGGATACGTCCTGGTTGGCTAAGAGTAGAATGCTTCCAGACAGCGCCCAAGCATAATCTAACGTAGGCCTTCCATGGTTACCAAATCCATGTCCTTGGCGAATATTCTCATTACATGCGAATATGAAGAAACAACCTATGGAATTTACGACTTTGACATCTTGCGTTCTTTACGGTGAAGTGCACGCATATTGCAAAGACAAAGAAACTACTGAATCTCCTCTTCCTAGTAGTGGCCAAGAAGCTCCCGCCCGCGTTCCACGATGGCCTGCGCTTCTGAAAATCTTGGAGATATCTTGACCTCGAAAGGCAACGGGCGACTGCAAAGCAGACGATCAATATGCGTACGCAATGTCATACGGTACGCACATGACCACTCCATCTTCGATACATCCGTCAGCATCCAAAGGAAGAGGAGCACCTTTCTCGTCCGTGGCGCGTTCAATGTCCAAAGCCCAAAGCAATGTGGCTATGACAGCAAACAACGTATCGTTAGCGATATGTCGTCCAACGCAGATGCGCCGTCCGAAACCGAAGGAGACATGGCTTTGGATAAGTCAGTCCATGACGTGTCGGAAAGGAACATGAACGAACTTTTCTTCCTTAGTGCCTGAGAGTCCCGAAGCCAGTTGACCTGTCTCATCGAGGTGCCGGGAAGGATTGAAGTGTTCGGCGTCAAGTCCATAGTTCTCTGGATTTCTGTTGATATGCCAGACGTTGGCAATGAGAATACTACCGGCCTGTGCATGGCAGATGAGGGCGGCAGGAGGCAAAACGTCATTTATGCTTACGGGGATGAAGTATCCGTTATATACATCATCCTCTGTCGATCGACGAGGAAGCCCTGGAAACTGACCATCAAAGTCATGCATATGTATCCCGGAAGCCGTACGAACCAACTGGATCCTGCATGGAAGACTTCGGTTCGCATCAAACGAATGATCGAGAGAGACAAGCTTACCACTGCACGCCATCTGAGAGTTTCCTTGACCATTGCACGGACATAGGGTAAATACTCGTAGTCGGCGAATGTGGGGAGTCGATCACGACCGACGACCATATCGAGCTCTGCTTGGGCCCGTTTCTGCACATCGGGGTACAAGACCATGGCGAGCATCCACCAGGACATGGCCGCTGAGCTCGACTCAGCACCAGCTGCGCTGTCGAAGAATCGGATGTTAAAGAAACCAGGAGGAGTCTGAAAAGACATACTACATGGTCCCCGCTAGCCAAGAATTTTCGTGTTCAGTCAGCCCATGTCTTCCGGCAGCTTGAGCCAGAGTAGCCGCGAAGCTGGGGCTTTCCTCACCTTTGGCCTAACAGAAATGAATGCGCATCAGTTGCCAATGACACGGGGATCGGGCGCGTACTACTCAATCTTTGACGCTGTTGAAGAGGCTTTCGAACATGGACGAATCCTTGGCGTACCAGCCCTCTGCATCTCTTTTCCATTTTGCGTATCTAACAAATTAACCATCAGCCGGTGTTCCCATGACGTTTTGGACAATCTTACTTGCTAGGGATACGCAGCATCCAGGGGAAAGACTCCACCTTTGGGATCACAATACATCAATCAGAGGTCAGGCTTAGTGGGTGAGAGCAAAACTCACAAGGTGAGCACCAGGCATAGCAGCACGAGTTAACCGTGTGGTAAAGTCATTGATCTTTTTGATCGATGGGTCTTGTTCCGAAGTTGGAGGCCTATTGTATACAATGGACATGATAGAAGATGCGGCGGTGCGGCGAACGTGCGACACCCAGCGTCCGGGTTCCGCCAACAAGTCAGCTGTGAGGAGAACGGCTTCTGTGATCTGTATTGGATGGTATTGGTTGACGATCGCTTTGTTGAGGCCCTCATGAGCTGCTTTGCGCATATGCCGCCATCTAAAGTACGATGTCAAGTATGCCTATTGGGAAAGCAAGGCCAAAAGCTTACGCATTTCCGTAGTGAGCGAACGCGACGAACATTCCTCCAGTCATTATATCTGAGGCGACGATGTTGCGAGGGCGATCGGAAAATTTTGCACGATCGAAGAGATCTGTTGCAACTTTGAGGGAGTTGATGACCACGAGAGGTTGTCCGGCTATACTGAAGTACATGAGGTCGCCTAGAGCATAGTCTGAAACCAGGCATCATGTTCAAATGAAGAGGGCATACCGTATTTCTTTCCGAGCTCGGTGAATGTGAGCCATTGTTTCCCACGAAGCTGGAGAATATTGCCAATGAGAGGAAGACCTCTAGGTCCAGGTGGGAGCTTGCGCCAAGAGCTACGGATGCGACCAACGATGGTAAAGGTGACGACAGCCACGGCAGTAAGAAACCACAGAGACGATATGTATGTCATCGCGACTCGAAGCAGACGTAGACTGAAGGGTTCTTGATGTGATAGACTAATCCATCATGCGGATCGAATTCCTGGTATGAGCGCTTAAGTTTCTTCTTACCATCAGTTCCACACTCCGGGACCTCGAGTAATCGATTTCACGATACTCCTCGTCTTTCCTTTCGAAGGAGGAAATGTCAGGAAGAGTCAAGGACAAAGCTTTCATTACGCACGGACCCAATACCCAGTGAAGGTGAACCTACTAGAAAACATATCTCGCAGAGCCATTTGGCGATGACGTGAATGTACAGGTTCAAGATGGATGACGTCCGGTATGGACGAATTTCAATATCCAGGCCACGTTGCGCGACTACTGAGCGCATCATAATCCTTAGTGATGGCCCGTGCGCATGAAATCTCCTCATGGAAGCGTGTACCGTTGACTAGTATGAACTCTGGATGATAACAAACAGGAGAAAGCCGCTGGAATCATCCTTTTTTTTTACTGGATATAGGTCGGCAGAGTTACAGACAAATAATTCTACGACACACAGAAACCCCCGTTTCACATCTTCTGAGAAGTATCGTCATCGCATCTCGTCCTGGCTTGATTCTGAATCTGGACGATGATAACTGATGAAGGGTCTCTTTTGTGTAACATTCTCAATCCAACAATGAAAGTGTACACATCGAACTCGAGCATAATGTCCTTGTTAGAATCCAAATCTATACATAAAGGAACTCAGTCACGATGCGCTGTGGTGCAAACGGACTGTATTGTATCATACCTATACATAAAGGAACTACGATACATGAGTGACATAAGAGATATAGGAAGCACATATAGCTCACCTCAGGCACAACACACTGTGGTGCAAACGGACTGAGGAAAAGAGGGGCACGTTGATTGATGCACCATAAATAGGTTCAACAGACAAAGGGGCCACTCTCGGTGTATCCCAAAGACAATTAGGTGCCAACACTCCTCCTCACTGAGAGTCTCCTTACATTAAGCTTTAACTATTGCAAGCCCATAAATCCTCTTAAATGAACAAATGCCCCTGGCTCTAATGTCTTTGTGAAGCAGTTAGCAAGATTATTCTTGGTATTGACATAGGACATGGTGATTTCCTTGCTTTTGACATGTTCTCTGATGAAGTGGTACTTGATATCTATATGTTTGACCTGTGCATGGAGGGAAGGGTCCTCAGAGAGATTAATTGTGCTGTTATTGTTGTGAAGAAGTGATGTGTGTCCTTTCTGTGTGAAGTTGAGACCATGAAGCAATGAGTGGAGCCAGATAGCTTCTTTAGTAGCTTCACAAGCAGCAATGTATTCTGCTTTGCAGGAGGAGGTTGCAACTGTCTGCTGTTTGCATGCACTCCATGAAACTATGCCTGATCACAATGAGAAGCAGTATCCACTGATGCTATGACATATGTCCAAGCAATTTGCCCAATCTGAATCAGTGAAGCCAATGACTTTTACAGGATTTGAATGGCCACCAAGATGAAGCTTTAGATCTCTGGTTCCTTTGAGGTAATGCACAACTTGTACAGCAGCATTTCAGTGGACATAGTGTTATGATTTTCCTGCTCTCACTCTTAATTAACCCCTATTTTTGCTTAGTCAGAGCATCCAGACTCAGCGCTTAAGACTGTGAGACCAGCTTAGTCATCACAATGACCAAGTCCATCATTGTCTTCCAATGCAATGTCACCCCTCAATGGATGACAACACTTTTGTAGGTAGCTATAGTGCTCAAGGACAAAGAGCACAATGACTTGGACAGACACAATTAGTAGTAGTATATTTATTTCTACAATAAACAGTATATAAGTAGGATAGCTCTTGCTGTGTATCCCCAGCTTTGAGCTAAAGTTTATACTTCATCATTCTACCTTGAGCCACTTGCAAAGGCTTTGGAACACAACACCATATAAACACATCTAGTGAACTTAAACATGACTGTATGAATACAATACAGTGTTCATTTATTATATGTTTTGATTATATGTCACTTAGGCTTAACAATTAGCTCAAAGCTTATGCTTCCCTTTCCTTATGCACAATAGGTGCAAAAAAAACTGAATGCCATCATTCAACTCTATAACCTCTGATCTCACAGACAACTTCTTCAAGCTCTTAGCTTCCATCATTAAAATGCTTTTAAGCTTACTAGCAATCATACAGCTTTGCTGAAGACAACAATCAGTAACTGCTTGGATAGTCAGGCACTATCAAGCTTTTCAACAAGTATAACAGATTTTATAAAATGTCACATCAGATCTCCTCTTTTATAATATCTCTCTCTCTATCAAAGTCTCCTTTCAGCCTCTGCTCTGATCTATATCTGAAGCTGGGCCTAGCAGCTCACATTTGCAGAGCACTGAGAAAGAAGAAGAATACTGGTACTCTCCTAGACCCTAACAAACAGCTAGCAGAAACTGTGACTATCAACTTATAGATTTTCAAAACCTATAGATCTCAGTGCACTTCTCTCCAGTCTCAAACTATAAGAATGAGGACCTTCCTGATGACTTCTTTGATGCTGAGCCATCTTCTGACTCTTCTACCACTCTTTCTGAGCATGGAATTGAAGACTGTGCTTAGAACTCCTTTGATGCCACTAAGATGGCTCCAGAAATCCACCACATATTCTCTGACTTCAGATATGATTCTCTCTATGCAACACTCACTGAAAGCCCTATCTCCCAGACTTCCAGTCTGCTCCTATTGACCTCTAGTGATCTATATGTTCCAGGGCCCAACATTCTTGCTTGACAAGATATTAAACAATCTGAATATTAGTCAGCCACCACTCATGCTGAGTGGGTTCAACAAGAAGAAGAATATGCCTGAGATGCTGTTAAGCATACAGCAGCCCAGGCTCAGAATGCTTACAAGGAGGTCCAGTATGACAAGCAGTACTGCTGCTGCCAGCATGAGCTTGAGGCTGCTATCTGGAGATCAGGCTCCTCAAGCTGATATGGCCTCTGAACAGAAACTTTGGGCTCTCCTTTTTGAGAGCCCAGCACACCAGCAAATATAGATACTGACCCATGGGCAGGATTCATAGAAGCAGTCACTCTCAGCAAAGCCACTTAGAGAAACACTTATTCTTCTGCCTCCAGAACATCTAGCATCACAGACACTGATACTATCCTCTCTCACTTTGAGTCTATACTTGATGCCTACAGAATTTAAGTCTCTCTCAATGCTCACATTCCCAACCATGGCCTCTAAAAGTTCCTCAGAGAAAGAGTCACAGCACTCTTTCTCAATTCATGATTCTATAGAAACTTCTGCTAATATCACTGAGAAATAGAGGAGGCACAAACTTGAGACAGCTGCCAAATGGACCCTGCAGTTAGCAGTAGCCCATCTCTCAAGCAGTCTCCTCCTTGGCCTGACTCCAATGCTGCCAGACTCAGCATCAACTACCAGCTCTCTCACAATGATCAAACCACTTGTCTCATTTATCTATGATCCATCCAGCAACTCCCTTGTCAAAGACAGCAAGAAAGAGGTGAATGCTGAGGATGAGGATAGAGAGAACAGTAATCTGTTTGCAATCTCTGAGGTCTATGAATACTCAGAGGATCCTGGTGAGACACTGAATGAAAAAATGCTGCTGAAAGAAATTCAATAGGAATGGGAAAAAGAATATAAAAAAGTATACTAGAAGAGGATGACAATTTTATTAAGGGACAGCAACTGATAAATGTCATCTCTTGGATAAAAGTATGTAGTTATGGATGATACTGAAAAACAAGACATTTTATAGTATGCTGTGACTGAGCAAGCTATTTTCATCTATAACAAAACACACTCCAAGAACCAGCTAAAGAAGCTCTCAGCATACAAGTCAAAGTATGAGATTGATCCAATGCCATAGACCCCTTCAGTCACACCAAGATATGCCACATACATAGTACCATCAATCTGAACTACAACCACACAATATGCATACTCAACTCTATTTGTTATGATTTTTCTATTTCTTTATTCATTTTAACCTCTATTTATATTTAATCAGAGTGCTTATACCAGCACTTAGGATCATAGGACTGACTTAATCATCACAATAAGCTGAGTCCATTATTGTCTTCTGATGCAACAACAACTCTTGATGATATACAATAACTCTTTTATAAGTAGTAACAACAACTAAGGATAATGAGCACAAAGGCTTAAACAGATACAATAGATAGTATTATATTTATCTTGACAGATGAGTAGTATATAAGTAGGATAGCTCTCACTGTATAACTCCAGCTTCAAGCTAAAGTTTATTCTTATACCACTTCACTCTCAAGCTAATCTACTAAGGTCTTAAAGCATTTGGTCATCAGACACAAATAGTAGACTCTGACATGACTGTATGAATATGATACAGCATTAATTTATCACATGTTCTGATCACATACAACTTAGGTCTAATAATTAGCTTGAAGCTTCTGCTTTTCTTTCTTTACATACAATAAGTGCAAAGAAAACCAAATACTATCTGTATAAATTACAACCCTCAATCTAACTGATGACTTCTTTAAACTATTAGTGGCTATTATTGGAATGCTTCTAGGACTACTGGTGATCATACAATTTTGCCATAGACATCAATCAGTAACAGCTTGGATAGTCAGACACTATCAAGCCTTGAAGCAGATTCAACAGATTTTATGCAATGTCACCTCCAACCTCCTCTTTCATGACATTCCTCTCTTTGCCTGAGTCTCCTTCCAGCCTCAGGTCAGAACCATACCAAAAGCTCAGCCTAGCAGCTCAGATACAAGGAATGATCAAAAAGAAAAAAGACACATCTATCTTCTCTAAAGAACAGATAGCAGAAACCATGACTATCAGCACATGAGATTCAGAAACCTATAAGTCCCACTGCATCTCCCTCCAGTCTCAAACTATAAGGACAAGGACCTCTTTAGCAACTTTTTTGATGACTTATTCTCTGATCCTTTTATCACCCCAAGAGAACCTGAGATTAGAAACTATGCTCAGGACTA